CCTGGGGCTGCTCCAGCCCCGGCCCACAGCTGGAGCCCGGCAGGAACAGGGGGGCACCGGCTGAACCCCCCAGGGCGTCACCTCCCACCATAGACCTCGTTCGCCGTCGCTCACTCGGCCTCGCCTTCCTATCATCCTGTTTGCCATCTAGGGTGCCTCCATTTGGTCCCTGGCTTCCTTAGGACATCTGTACTCTGTTCCAGTCGGTCCTGGTTTGGCTGGGATGGAGTTAATTTTCTTCCTATTAGCTGGTGTAGTGCTGTGTTTTGGCTGTAGTATGAAAATAATGGTGATAAGAACACCCTGATGGCTTAGTTGTTGCTAAGCAGTGCTTATACCAGTCTGGGACTTCTCAGCTTCCCACGCTCTGCCAGGTGCACAAGAAGCTGGGAGGGACACGGCCAGGACAGCCAACCCAAACTGACCAAAGGGGTGTTCCAGACCATATGATGTCATGCTCAGTATATAAGCTGGGGGAAGAAGAAGGAAGTGGGGGGCATTTGCAGTGATGGTGTTTGTCTTCCCAAGTCACTGTTACATGTGACGGAGCCCTACTTTCCTGGAGATGGCTGAACACCTGCCTGCTGATGGGAAGTAGGGAATGGATTCCTTGTTTTGCTTTGCTTGTACACACGGCTTTTGCTTTATTATTAAACTGTCTTTAGTTCAGCCCATGAGTTTTCTTACTTTTACTTTTCCAATTCTCTCCAGCTTTCCACTGGTGGGCAGAGAGCAAGCGGCTGTGTGGTGTTTAGTGGCCAGCTGGGGTTAAACCACGACACGGTCAGGCTGAACCCCCCAGGGCGTCACCTCCCACCATAGACCTCGTTCGCCGTCGCTCACTCGGCCTCGCCTTCCTATCATCCTGTTTGCCATCTAGGGTGCCTCCATTTGGTCCCTGGCTTCCTTAGGACATCTGTACTCTGTTCCAGTCGGTCCTGGTTTGGCTGGGATGGAGTTAATTTTCTTCCTATTAGCTGGTGTAGTGCTGTGTTTTGGCTGTAGTATGAAAATAATGGTGATAAGAACACCCTGATGGCTTAGTTGTTGCTAAGCAGTGCTTATACCAGTCTGGGACTTCTCAGCTTCCCACGCTCTGCCAGGTGCACAAGAAGCTGGGAGGGACACGGCCAGGACAGCCAACCCAAACTGACCAAAGGGGTGTTCCAGACCATATGATGTCATGCTCAGTATATAAGCTGGGGGAAGAAGAAGGAAGTGGGGGGCATTTGCAGTGATGGTGTTTGTCTTCCCAAGTCACTGTTACATGTGACGGAGCCCTACTTTCCTGGAGATGGCTGAACACCTGCCTGCTGATGGGAAGTAGGGAATGGATTCCTTGTTTTGCTTTGCTTGTACACACGGCTTTTGCTTTATTATTAAACTGTCTTTAGTTCAGCCCATGAGTTTTCTTACTTTTACTTTTCCAATTCTCTCCAGCTTTCCACTGGTGGGCAGAGAGCAAGCGGCTGTGTGGTGTTTAGTGGCCAGCTGGGGTTAAACCACGACACGGTCCCCTCCAGACTTCCTCCTTGTGTGCCTGAGCCTTCTTTGGCCTCTCTGGCCTGCTCTTGATGGGCTGGAGCCACAGAAAGACGCCCCAACAGGGACCAGGTCATGATGTGAAAGGAACTTTAAGTAGCTCTCCTCAGCACAACTGGGTGCAAGCTCTATGCAGCACCCTTGAGTAAGTTGCAGGCACTATCTCCCTAGCTCCTGCTTCACTTTCCAGGTGCTGCAGGCTTCTCTCTGAACCCGGCTGTCTGGGCAGCTTCTCTCAATATCGCTTTGAAACATCTTTGTCCTAGGCTGGGGTGGGGTGCCACTGTGCTGTGCCGCTCAGCCTCACCAGGGGGAGCACAGAAAGCTTCCCCCCACCACTCAAAGTTGATGGCTGGCTTCTGGCCACTCAAGAAATTTCGAATGAAAAGCTGTTACAATGATTTGCACCTATATATGCTGAGAACCCGTGGTCCTCCTTCTCTTCACGGGGATTTACACTGTTAAATGTTGCTGACAACTGTGGGGTCTGAACATCCTGAATCCTGGTAATTCCATACACACATATTGCCGGTTTAGACTGACGGTCAAGGGAGGCTGCTGGCAGCTGGAATGAGAAAAGACAGCCCTCGTGCTTAAAGGTGGAGATTTGAAGCGAGGGTGTTGCAGTAAGAAGTCACAGTGTCTGCTCAGAAACAGGATTTTTGGGTATGTTGCCCAAAAGGTATGTTAAGGGTGTGGGTGATTCAGAAAGGAGGTTTCCAGTCCCAGTGGAGTGAGACTAGCTCTCATCATAAAATCAGCTGGATTTTAGCTAAACTTCAGGGGGAAAGAGACAACATTTTGGGCACTTTTTTTAAACTGTTTTACAGAAACCTCAGAGTCAGAGACATGTTCACCTGGGGTTTCTGTAGTGCTGCTTCTCTTAGTACACCCTGGAAAAGTGTGCACTGTCATTTGTGCAGTGCACCACCTTTCAAATGTATCAGGCAGATAAGGTAAGTTCAAAACATTTAAAATATCTTCCTACGCGTGTTACCACTAGGGTTTCCCTGTGTGCAGAGCCTGGCATGTTAATCAGGGAAGCAGGAGTTTGCTGTTCACTGCTTTGTGTGTAGCAGCCATTCTGTGAAACGTAGCTGTATTGAACATCTCTCTTCCCCACATGAATCTGATGCTTACCAGATTCGCTTTCCTCCCCTGAACTGTGGTGCCTGCATCAGGTTGCTGCAGCCTATTTCAGTAATATATAGCCTGGTCGTTGGTTCCTGCTTTCAAAATCAGAAAAAGGGACTGTGCAAAAAATGATTATACAGCAGGCTGGAGATCTCACGCCTCTTGTGCTTGCACACGCTCTCTCCATTTCTGCTACATCAACAAGAGTTTTCTGTGCCCGTACAAGAATGGGGTAGGTAGAAAATAGTGAGTGCTACTGTCTTTAGACAAAATCCCAAATTTCAATTTTGGGAAGGAGTGAAATGGAATATCACCGTTGTTCTTACTTAATGTTCTCTTTTTAACTGAAAGCCCAACATTTAAAAGCTGCGGATTTTTCTCCCTCCCCTACCCCATAATCATCTGGTACAGTTAAAAATGCTTTGTATCTGATTGCCCTGCTGTGCAGAAAAGAGCAGCAGCCTGACAATGCAAGGGAATCGGGAAGTGAGGCCAGCAAGAAGCCAGAAGCGAAACAGAGAAGTCTGTTTTCATTTTCTAAGCCAACCTTAGGAAGGAAGAGGCCGCAACCCAAACAGCATTCCAAGACCCTCGCCGCAAAGCAACGACCGCTTGGATACTGTTCTATGACAATGAATGCTGCAGGGCTGCTCAAGAAGCAGCTTGTATCATGGTGTAAATCTGTTCCCTGGGTGTTGGTGTGAGGAGGAGTCTGCAGCACCTGCATGATGGGGACAGTTAAAGCACTTGGTGAGGCTGAAACTCACTTGGAGCCTTGTCAGGGTCTCTGTATGCAGTCTGTGCTGTGCTGGCAGTGTAAAACCCCAGGCAGTCCCCACCCAAAAGGGCTGACAGACCTGTCCTTTAAAAAGCCCTTAACTAAAAGGGAGAAATAACTTGTCCAATAGGAAGGACATCAGGCTCCTGGGGTCATCCAACACGTATCTTCCCTGAGATCAGGTTTGACTGCAGCCAGCTTTGCCAGTGAAGGAGAGCTGCAGAGATGCTGCCTGGCTGTTGGTGCACACCCAGAGCCTCAGAAGGACTTGTACTGAGGGAGGAGCACCACGGTGACCTGCGTTAAGAACACATCTCTATATGTACCATCTGTTCCTCCTGGGACTCCTGTTGACTACCCATACCCATCTTTTTCCCTCTTCAATCCTTAGCTCATATTTTCATGTCTGTGTCTGGATTCTCCCAGACAGGACGCACTCAGCGGGAGTTGATGTTATCAGTCAATGATGGACTAGGTGCTCTTGTTGAACGTTATCAAAGGCTGTTGCTCTGCTGCGCGGGCTCTGAAAAGCCTAATTCCTGTAGCATTTGAAAGACATGGGGTTCCTGAATGCTTATTCTTTCAAGTTAGTCTTACAAATCACGCGTGGAGGAAGGAGGTTAATAATAATTAAAAACAGACCCACCTGCTTTCCCTGGTTTCACTGCATTAGGCTTTCCAGCCTGGCAGGTCTTGTTGGGCTCATTCATTTGTATGGACTATGCTGTCCAAACACCACAGCTCAGCAGATGGGGTTGATCCAAACCAGACCTTGTATTGCACCAGTCAGCCCAGCTCTGATGCTTGTCCTGCCCATTGCACTGGCTGCAGAGTGAACTGAGCCAGTGTCTGCTTGCGGAAGCAGGGCACAATGTTTATTGATATGGAAGGGGAAGCAAGTAAGCCACAAAATGTATGCAGGGCAAAGGGGTGGATCTAATTCACAGAATGGTGAATTCCATTTGAGGGTACTCTAGGCTCCCTGCGGAAGGTGGTGTGTGCTTACAGCTGGGGTGTGTAGCTTACAGGGTAGTAAACACTGGTTTGCAATTTGAAATCATGGGTTCAATCCCCAGAGGGGATCCCCAGTCTACCTCAGTCATAACATTACACACACATATCCAGAATGCTTTCCTGATCCTGCATGGCCAGAGGCTCTTTCCACAGTAGCTGGGCAGTTAGAGGCAGACCTGACTGCTACTGTCACCTCCCCAGACCCCTGGGAACACAGGACAAGACAGGGAAGGCTCGGAAACCTTGTATTACAAAAATAAAAGAGCGCATGGTGCAGTGTCACACGTGAAGCTGCCATGCCAGGCTCCAGCGCAAAACGTACCAGTCAAAGGCAAATATAAAAAAGACAGACGCTGTTAAACAGTCTCAGGGCGACATCCTTAAGGCTGAACAATCCCAGCTGAACTGAGCTGATGTAAACCAAGGACCATGCTTATTTGGAGCCCCAGCAAGTCAGGATTGGTGTGGCAGAATCTGGGAGCTCTGCTGTGACTTATAGGCTAGGTAAAGCCCCCAGATCATCTCCTTTTCCATGGTGGCAGGCCTGAAACATACTAATAGGGCTGGGGTTCCCATGGAGGCAAGTGCTTCTGGTCTGATCTCATCAGGGAGAAGGTCCTGCAGAGAACGAGCTTCAGGTCTGGGGGCTGTACCTGGGTCACCTCTGCCCTGTCCTTATGGCCTGTAGGACCCCTCTAAGCATCCTCCAAAGTGGGCTGGGCTGCCTCCCTTCCCTTACCACCCACAGGCCCTTGGGTCCCCTTTGCTTTACATCAGCTCAGTTAGCCCCCGGCTCAGCAACTGCTCTGTGCCATTTCTGCTGGACTCCAGGGAAGGGTGGGCTGGCCCCACTCACGCCGACTTGGTCCCGCTCTCCACCTCCTTGTGCACCCACAGCTCCTTGTGCTGCTTGCGCCCAAAGCCCTCGTCGTAGTTGCCTTTACTCTTGAAGAGCTGCTGGAAGTGGGGCTTGCAGTAGAATTCCCCGTGGAGCGCCGCGTAGCTGCCCAGGCTGGGGAAGGAGGGCAGGGTTAGCTAGGCACGGGGACTCAGCTGCAGGCTGGCGGGGAATGTGTGAGGCTTGGGAGCACTGGGACGGGGGAGGAAGGAGGAGGGAACGTGCAGGAGGGGACCCTTAGAAAGGACCAACTGCTCCCTCCAGCCAGCTCAGGATGTTAGGGGCTGCTGTGAGCAGCATTAAAGGTCTGTAAAGGGGGGTGGGGGGTGGGGGTGGGGTCCTGCAGGGCAGTTCAGCCTTGGCTCTGTGTCATCTAGGAGGAAGCTGTGGCTCAGCTCTGCGTTACCTTGGAGCTCTCTCCGTGCTCCTGAGGGATAAAACTCTTTTTCCATATCAGGTGGGATTTAGCTGAGACTTGGGACCAGGTGGGCAGATAAGCCCTTTTTTTGCTGTGATGAGTGCACTGAGGGTCTTTAGCTACCCCACAAGAAGAGGAAGGGCTGTGATGGGTGGCTGCGCTATTTGGAAGGGCCTCCCCCACTCAGGCTAGGCAGAGCCACAGTGACACCCATCCACCTCATCATCAGCAAGCACTGTAGCAGCCTCCCAGCCCGGCTCACCTGAGCTTGGTGTGGCAGTGCTTGCAGCAGAAGCAGGCATTGTGGAAGACGAATTTATCTGCCACCAGCCGCTCCATGGGATAGACGGTTTTCTGGCAGGCAGCGCACATCTCCTTCACTTGTGCCTTCAGGCTGAAGGACTGGGCAAGGGGAAACCAAAGGAAGAAAAGATGAGGAAGGGGTTTGGGATATCTGCTGCCTGGGTCCCACCACAGCCCTCTTCCCTAACATGGGTGCTGCCATTTGCTGGAGCAGTGGTTACCATGAAGCAGCCCCATCTCCCCTCACCCTCCCTGTACCGCTCCACTGATGCTGGTCTGGATTGGTGCTTGGGCCTTAGGCTTTTGGTCCTTCCCACCTCGCCATGAATCAGTAGGATGTGGTAAAATTGCAGGTACCTTGGAGCGCTGCACTGTGCTGCCTCCTGAGTTGTTCTTTGCCTCCTAAGAAGGGAAGAAGAGAAATCAAAATGAGAGCCTAGACTGACAAGCCCAGCATTGAGTTGTACTTAAGGAGGAGCAGCAGAGGATTGGTACAGGCAGCTGAGCTACAGAACCTTGGGGAACACCAGCAGCCTCTGCCTGGCTGTCATGGGCACGCAGTGACTGTCTCTGAACTCACTTGCCCAGAGGCCATGACCTCCATCAGGTCCTCATGTGCGAGTTACTTCCTGCCCTGTGGTGCTTTTCCCAGAGAGCAACAAGAAGAGAGGAAAATAGAAAAAGAGGAAAAATAATGTAAGTATTGCAGAGAAGGAACTCTGGGCACCAGGAGGCTGTGGTGCTTGCCCGGGGCTGTGGGGGCAGAGCCACCAGCTCTCTCATCCAGCACTGCTCACTGAGGCCTCTGTCTTGGACATAGGAGCATGGCACAGTTCGCTTTCTTCCACAGCCAAGGCATAGCAGACCTTTTTTGTGGTGGTAGCACCCAAGCACAGATCCAGGAGATGTCACAGCACAGGCACTGCAGAGCACAACCCCAGGGTAACAACTCTCCTACTGATGAGCAGCTCTCACCATCTACAGGCATTGATTACTGTCCTTGGCTACCCAGTGCAACCACCATGCAAGTCTTGGGACCCACAGCACTGGCACTACCCCTCAGGAATAACAACAGCAAAGCAGAGGAGCCCTGCTTCCACTTCCCAGGGGGACAGTTTGGGCCTGTGGCAGGCAGAGAGGGGGGAAAGGGCTTGCTGAGCTCCTGCAGCACAAGCCCCTGGCAAAACTCCCTTTGTGACCTGCAGCGGCAAATCGTCACCTGCTGGCTTATGCATGTACCAACAGCAGCTCTGCTTTGGTTCGAGATGCTGCTCTCCTGCTTGTTCTGGCCAGCAATCATTTATCCCACAGAGCTGGAGAGTGATAATTAACCCTTCTCTTGCTGGAGGTGCACAGGGCTCTAGCAATGCTGCCAGTGTGGGTCTTTGCCTGCAGTCAGAGGGTGGTAGGCTGGCAGTTCCTCCAGGGCATAAGTGGGGTGCCCCTCGCTCTCCTGGAGCACATTTGTGCTGGTTCCCCCTCAGCGGATGTTTTGTTTCTGAGTTCCCCTGCTAGCCCCGTTATCAGCCTGTCATGGGGCTGCGCTGCACAGGAAACGCCTGCGCTGTAAGAGCAGAAAGTCCCTGCAGGCTCTGTGTGTGTGGAGGGCAGGAGGGGCAGTGGGCCACGGTCAGAGTTGAAGACATGCTCCGTGGCGTTCTGCAGCTTGGTGGGGGCAGATGTTACTCAGACCCTGCAGCTGTGGAAGGAGCAAGGCAGGGAGATCCAAGCACTGAGATGCCTGTACCTCTGCCCCCATGATTTCAGAGCAGGGCCTCAGTGCATGTTCTCTCATCTGCAGCTGCAACAACTCATATCCACCCACCACTCCTTCCCCTCACTTGCCCCCTTACTTGGGGTAAACACACTTTTAGCAAGGTCAACCAGCCAGGACGGCTTTACAACAGACTGGCTCACCCTCTGCACTGTTTGTTCCCAAGGTTGGGGCAGTGTGACCCCAGAACATCACCCTGCTGTCCTTCCTCTTGCTGCTGGGTTGGCTCTGCTTGGCCATCACTGCCCCTTCTCTCATGCTCCCAGGCTGATCTTCCATCCCCCTTCCTCCTGCTTTATCCTTCCCCATCATTTCTCCTTTATATTTTTAGAAACAGTTTGTCTAAGAGATGCACAGGAAACTCTCACTTCGCTGAGCTGCCTCTTCAGATGTTTCTCAGCTGCTCTCATTGACTGAGGTCAGGGATGTGATTTTCCTCTCACTCCCACAAGGCTGGAAGAGTAAGCTGAAATCAACAGAGGGACATAGGCAGCGAGGAGACTCAGGCTGTGTAAAACCAGTTGTATCCCTTAGCACTGGTGAAACAATCCCAGGTGCTCTCCTGGGGTTAGGGTTTAATGCACTGTTTCCAGGCTCAGCTGACCAGAGCTAAGGAAAACGCTGCCTCTTTGGAGCTGGAATACATCCATTCCCAAGGCTACAGGCAATCCACCGTTGCTTGTCACTTCTCAGCAGCCTTCTGGCTCTGGTCAGGCACACCATCTATTTCATATCTGATATATCCTCCCTCAGGGAAGGGCCATATCCTCTCTCAGCAGGAGATGTTCTTGAGCCTTTATGTTTTTCCATCTCCAAACACTCTAATCCTAAGAAGCTCGCACGCTCTCAGTTGTGATCACAGAAAGCCATGGAAACACAAACAAACAGTCAGCAAGCAAGATGGGAGCAGGGTGAGCAGCTCTGTATGGACCAGAGCCTGGATGCAGGCATTGCAATGTGCTCAGCAAACAGCACCTTCTGCTGGAACATTCCCATCCCCAGTTTTGTTGTTTGAGTAGCAGTGACTGTGCCTTTGATCACCCTAAAATGTCAAGTCCAGAATACAGCTTCTATATACAACCCTCCATCCCTGAGAACCAAAACCCAGTTTGAAATTCTCATACAAACCACAGGGGATGCTACGTACATGAGTTGGGGGTGGGCTGGCAGGTTCCGTGGCCTGGAACATGGTTCCTTCCCCTCCTCTGTCTGTTTAATCCTGAGCTTGAAGGCTGTGGGCCGATGTTCCCTGCGGAGGTGTCTAAGACAGACCTCTTGCGACACCTGGAAAGGAAATGTCAGCAGGAGGGTGGCTGGTTTCATCACCCCAGATCTGGCAGCTGCGCAGCTCTGCAGGAGCTGGTGCGTGACAGCAGCAAGCTCAAAGCTTCCTCCATGGGGTCTGTGCAGCCTCTTTGATCTAGGGATTTCCTGAGGGATCCAAGAGATTTAGGCACACCAGACTGGACTGGCAGATAGGAGAATGCAAGTCTGGAATACTGCTCAGTTCTAGGAAGCTGGCAGGTGATCAGAGGCACTGAGGTGAGGCTAGCATACAGCTCAGTAGCTCTAGTCCTTTTTCCTATACAAGGATACTCAGCTAGTATGGGAGAGAGCTGCTGGAAACCTGCAGAAGGTGATGCGGTGTCTTCTGCTCCAAACCCACACATGGCGGGCAATTGCCAGGCAATGGCCAAGCTGTTAGCAGCAAGGCTATGACTTCACTGTCCTGCCAAGGCAGTGAAACCAGTGCCCAGTGTTTCATTAATGTAGCCGCTAAAGGACTGGTGATGCTGGAGCAAGGACTGTGATTTTAGTCTAATTTTAGCCCAGAAAAGCCTTGCTGAACAGAGTGGATCACAGCTCAGAAGAGCGAGTGACGGGGATTTTGTCTTCTCTGGGGACCCCACGTTGCCTTTAGGCTGAGAACTGTAAGCTGTGGCCTCTGTATGATGTGCCGAATGCCCAGGAGGATGAGTTTGACAGGTCTCAGACCAATTTTAATGCAGCACAGAAAAAAACCACCAGCATTGCAAGTCACCTCTTTTGGTAAAAATCAGCCGAAAAGGCACTGACAGATCCTCAGGGGGTTTTCCCCATTGCACCTTGCCTTCAAAACACCCATAAAAGGTCAAGCTTGATGAGCTCTGTTTTGCATATGTGAGACAGAGATGCAGGATTGAGCAAATGATGCAGAGGGAGGAGCAGAGCAGGGAATAGGAGGGTGACAGGGTGGCTGTGCAGCTCAGCCATGATGCGGGCGTGCTGGGGGCTGGCAAACCAACACACACACACCCCTGTCTGCGGCTGCTTACCTCTCCTCCAGAAATCTCTCATTCTCATATTGTCACTCCAAAAACTTTTCTGCTGCCCAAGGGCTAGGGTAGACCCTGAGAATGCCCCAGGGTATGCCGGGATGGAGGGCTTAGGGCAGGGGATGTCTCCAAAATGCCAATCTCGTGGTGGCATTTGCAAATCTGCCCTGGGTTTTGGGGGCACTTTGGCTGCCTAAAAAGTCCCAACACCCAGCAGCTGACACCAGGCTTGCGTTGTGCCCAGCTGAGTACCCAGAGTTAGTGACTGCTTTCAGAACGGAAAGGTCTTTGCTCCAGGTCCTGAGCAGTGGCAGGTGAACTGGGCCCACCCTCGCAGGCCTGGGGGGCTGGATGGCCCTCGTCACAAACATTTCACAGCCTCGTCTGAGAATACGGTTCCGATTTTACCTAACTCATTTCCCATCTCCTCTGTGGTTTGCTTACCCAGCAGCAGGGACTTGTGACTCACCCCCCCAGCCACTCTCTGCCCCCTGTTCCCTGGGAAAGGACCTTCCCTCTCACACCTCTGGGGTCTGTACGGTGCCTAGAGCCCAGCACAGATCCTGAGGACCACCCCTCTGGCCCCTACCCCCCCCACACACACCTCTAGTGCGGATACACAACCCTCCCCCTTTCCACCTGCCTTTCACCCTCTCCCCTGCCTTTGCCACAAGCATCTCTCCACTCCCAGCCTCCCTTCCGCTTCCCTCACAGCTCATCTTCCTCCCCTACTCCAGCCACCTTCTTTCCCTCGGTTTCCCCAGTCTCTCCATCATACCCCTCTTGCCCTTCCCTATACATACATGCTCCCTGGCTCCTTCCACCTACTATTTGTTCCTTTGCTTCTCTTGCCCCCAAACCCTGTTCCCTTCAATGCCATCCCACTTATCCTACCCCATGGCTTGATGTTCCTCATCCAGCCCTATCTTCCATGTCTCCTTCCTCTTAACGTCCCTCTTCCCCT